CCCCAAAACCCCAAAACCCCAAAACCCCAAAACCCCTTCTTTTGGGTTTTAATTGAAATAGATTTTGAAGATGGATAACAATATGACACAACTTTCTTTGGATTATATTTCTATCTTGCTTAAATATTAATTCAGCTCTATGCATGTCTTATGGTCTGTCTCTCATTAACGATGGGTGTTAAGTATGCCAACAGTAATTTGAATGTTCGGATCTTCTGAATAAATTTAAAGATAGAGAATTTAGAGAAAATTGATTAACAACAAAGAAGAATTATAGAAAGAAGAACATTTTCAAGATAGAATCAATGAGTTTAAAGGTGATACCTCAAATTCTTCTACATAGGCTCGTATTATCTCTGTGCACCAAACCATAATTATTTTTATTCTCTAACAACTTCTGATAGTTATTTGATTATTTATTTCAATCTCTCTTATTAACGAAATCCTCTTCTGGTTATCCTAAATACCCATTTCTTCAAGAAGACTAAGAACCAACAATAGAGTATAATTCTTCTCGCCAAGATAGCATACAAGTACACAAGAAGACTTTCGCTCTAAAATAATGGTGCTCTTCTATATCTTAGAATGTATTATGCCAGCTTTGGCGAAGTGTAAATCTAAACTGATCTTATTCAGGCTTAACCCTGCCTCCGGTTACTCGCCAATTCCTAAGAATAGATTGTTTATTAGGAGAGGTGTTTTGTGTGAAAAAGTTGAGTTTTAGAAACTTTATAGAGGAAACTTTAACATTAGTTGAATTTGGGAATGATAGCACTAATTTTAGAGATAGGGTGTCTTGTTGGTTAGTTTTACCTTGGAGGGAAATTTTCAGATAAAGATAGCAAATGATTGAGTGGAAATAATGGAAGATCATGGTATAAGTTGTTAATTTTAAACGCACAATTTTGTTTGGATAAGAATTAGAGACAAGGTGAAACTTTTAGTTGCTGTTTTTGGATGAAGTTTTCATAAACCTAAAATTGTTTCTTAACGTTTACAAATAAACATGCAAATTAAAAAAATGTAATCTGCTTGTTTGCTATTTCTTATGATAAGAGTTAAAGCAATTTCTCATCCTCAAACATAATGAAAAATTCAAAACTTTATGATAAATCCCCTTAGTTTTAAAAATTTTAGAATTCTTTTGTTTTTATGAATTTATTTTTAATTTAGAACAAGGTCACAATTTTAGAGATAAATCAGAGCATCAAGAAAGATCTCCACTGCCCATTTTCAACCCTAAAATTAAATAATGGGGTTTTGGGGTTTTGGGGTTTTGGGGTTTTGGGG